AATGAAAACACGTCTGTGTTATTGGCTCATCCCTACATTTCATTAAAAGCTTGACGTGTGCACCGATCCATTTGTTTCACACGTCAGAATAACTGCTTCCTTATCTACGGTGCCTCGGGGGAAAGCCGGCACGTGACAGTCCTCTATCAGTGCAGGTTTCCGGTTCACATTCATCGCTGTCGGTGGGTTGGTGATGCTGTCAACTCGCCGGTCGATGGATGACAACCGTGTCCATGCATGGCCACGTTTCCTGAAGAGCTGCCCTTGATAAGCTGCATCAGCTGTGGAGTTGATGGTTTGTTTGTTCCATATGAAATATCTTGTACAGTAGATCGTGACATAAATAAAGAAACTGGGACAAAATACTGAACTTGTGGTGTATTTTGTGTTGGAAAGAGTCACTAGTCTCAGCAGTACAGAAAATAGTGGAGTTCTGGACCGTTAAGCAATTTTCATGGTTCACATCAACAGGTGCTTCTTGTGGTTTTTGAGTTTTAAGTAGATTTTTTCATTTTATAAGTCAAAGTAGTTCTAACTAAAACCTTCAACCTTGTTTCACTGACTGGACCCCAGGTTTGCAAACTCCTGACTCTTGAAAATTAGTTTTTTATCATACGCTTTATATAATGATGGACACCGCTATCTCCACCTTCTCCCACTATCCAGAAATGAAGCCAAATTATCTTGGATACAAACGTTTCCAACTTGGAGGCAAAGTCTACTCAGTGGCGATCGGGGGATGGAGCCTCAGTCTCTGTTTTTACAGCATTAAATCACTTATTAAAACCTCATTTGGTAGAAGAATGAAAACTTGGACAACATCAGTCTTATAAGAACTGCCTAAAATTAAATATAACCAGAAAGAATATTTGAAGTGCCTTTTATATATGGTCCATATGCCATCTTTATATACACCATGGATTGTATTGATGTCACAGGGTGTTCACATACCATAAGTCAATTTGAATGATGTGCTGTATAATATATTCATACCTGGAATTTAGATGGATCATACATAAAAGGGTTTAGTTACTTTTTTCTTGCCACTAGAAGTTCTGTTCTCAAATTGAAATAATTAGATCAAACAAACAAACTTTCAGGGCACAGTCCTCTCCACAGCCACCGAAGTGCTGCTCATTGTGGGAACTGTTGGGTTTAATATAGGAGCTTCTGACTCTGCCACCTATGAGAGTAGGTATTTAGTTAAATTTAGTTTAAAAACAACTAAGAAACATTTTACTGAATT